AAAAAAAAAAAAAAAAAAAAAGGGGAAGAGAGAGAGACTTGTATCTAGTAGATTTGATTGAGGCATATTTGTTTCGAATTAAAATCAAAACCCACGTATTTTAAAAATTTCAATCACAATCTACTAAAAATTTAATTTTAATCCCTACCATATAATCATGCTCCCCCCCTCCCCCCAAAAAAATATATATCTAACTATTTTATTATTATGTTTTTATTTATTTTATCTAAATAGATATATAACTTCAAAAAATGAGAAGAATAAAGAATTTGCATAAAATTTACGTTTCTCCATTACTGAGCTTCAGTGACGACCCTTTCTCTCATAGTTCTTGAGTGCATCAAGCCCTTACTTCTTGGATGCAGCAATTTCGACCAAAATCCGCTTTTATTCTTCCCATTATTCTCTTCTTTTCTCCTTTGAAAGATGAAAGCCATTGATCTGCTCTTTTTAAGCATATTTTTGCCAGTACTCTTCAAAGAACTCATCGGTCCTCTTGCTACCGAGGCCATACGAAAAATACTCCCAGTCACAGGAGATGAGTACGAAGATATATTTGAGGACGAAGACAAAGACGATAAATATGAAGATGACGAAGATGGTATTTTACTACGCGATGAAGAATTGGTGGACAGCTGAGAGAGTTTCTCGCTTAGACAAATAGAGCATACACCGGGGGATTGACGGTGTTTAGGATGCTTTTTGCAGGGTGCATTGGCCTTGGATTTGCCTGATTTTCGATACTTTGGTCTCCAAGATTCCATTTTCAGCTTTGTAAGCTGTCTGTGTATGTAAAAATTATATAGAGGAGGGGGGAGTTGCATGCGGTATTTCCATGAGATTTCATGTGAGGTTCATGGGGGGCTTCAGAAAATAGCTTTTTTGACGATTTATGAGTTTGAAAAGTCTGGCGTGGACTGAATCTGAATGCCCGGTTGGATGTACGAAAGTAAAAAAATAAGGTGGGGGTGGGGGTGGGGTCTCTGCGTGTGTGCGTGTGTGTGTATTTTGTCAAGCAAAGGCAAAGCAACAACTTAACTCTTACGTTTTCTCTCCTCTTATTCTATGTGGGGGAAGGTCAAGGTGTGGAATTCTACACTACTCCTCCACATGCTAAGAAAATACTTGGCTAATCCACATTGAATATTGTAATGATTGTTCAATAAAGAAATTGGAAAGCCCTATATCTTAGACGACTTCTCTACATTGAATCGATCAAGATTTCGTATTCCTCAACAAAAATCGACCATGTAATCTATTTACTTTTTTACTTTGTAACCACTACACTCGTGATGCTAAGCCGTCTATACTTCTCCTGTATTCATATGAAATCTAAAGTAATATTGAACGCTAATACAATAATAAACAATAAGATAAAATTTTCCCGTAAAATTTGAGATTCTAAATCATTATGTTTAGTCTAAGTTACACTTAAAAAATTATCATGTCTACACTAAACGTTCGATAACTAAGTGCAGAGTGAATGACTATTGAGAGCATCTAAGTAATAAACCTATCTAATACAAATGCTCTCATATTTTAACCTTCTCAGTAGCACAATACTTAGTATTCATTGTTTACGATTACGATTACGACTACTGAGTTATCTAAGGTTATTCATTCTTCTAGCTTTTGTCTCTCCGTATCAGTGCTCGTTAGCTAGTGCTTTCACGGTGTTCTTTAACAAAATATTCGATCTATTTTTTATCGTTCCTAATATATGATAATTTGGACATCCAATTAATACTATATATATAAACTGGTACTACAATAAGTATTATACACGTCATTGTGAAATATCAATTGCTTGCCCTCTTGGCTTACTAGCCAAGTCCAAGAGCAATGGAATTTCTCTAACATAAAGCTAAGAGCAATCGTTTCTTTCGAAAATCATTATGTCTAGCCTAAGTTATGCAACAAAAAAGTTAAATTTAAATCAAAGTCAATAATTAATTTTAATCACACATTACAAGGGATTCATAACTTTTCAACCATATCCCATTGACTTTTATCAAAATTTACTAAAAAAATGATTTTTATATAAACCAAACAACGACTATATCTACTAAAAAATTCAACACAATCAATAATTCACAACATAGGAGAACAAATTAATCTCTTATTCTTTTAACTCGTTATAATAATATAAATATTGCATATTCTTTTACGAGTTTCGAACATAAAACAAACACGTTGTCCAATTAAGACGCCGACATTTGTCGGTGACGAAGTAGCAATTTGTTGTACAAGCAAACCTAATCTCTGCCTGTGATTTGCCTTCACATTAGTCAACAGAATAATGAAAAGTTGCAAAACAATTCTCTTCACACACCGCCCGTATCTTTTTGAACCGCCAACTATATATTGCTTTTTAGTACCTTAGGCCACGTTCTCTTTACTATTTTCAAACTATTTTTAATTTTCAATTTTCTAAAATACTGAAAATACCTTTATTTACCTATTTTTAGAAACGTATTTTCAAAAAACGAATTTAAAATTTACAAAGAAAATGAAAAACGCAAAAAAAGTCGTTTTGACTTTGTTTTTTCAGTTAAAACAAAGTCAAAACTTCATTTTTTTTTTAATCTTTGAAAACAATTTTTCAAAATGACCAAAAAAAAGGCATTTTTAACAACCTCAAAATGGACGCTTAAAACACAAAACCTAAAATGAATTCAAAACTTAAAACTAAAAACTAAAATACGAAGAGAACATCCTCTTAATATCTAGTTTTTAGAATTATAGGTATAACTGATAGTCGAATTATTGTCACATCAACCAATTAATATAAATGTAACATATCTGTAATTAATAATGTGATAGTAACCCCACTGTCATGTAAAATGATGATTTTCTCCATTAAAGATGAATTACATTACTCGTGGAATAGGAGCATGTCATCGTTTGTTGAGCAAGGAATCAAATGTAACATTAACCAACTTGACACTTTTTAATGAAAATCTATTTCCGTACTAGTTGTTTAGCAGGCTAAACGTAACTATAAAGTTATATTGTTCATTCTTGCTCGATACTAAACATAATCCACATACAGATGAGTACGGGAAACATTTAAAACCCTTGTAACAGCAAACCTAGAAGTTATATCTAGCTCTGTAGCTTCATAGAGGAAAAGGTGAAGCTAATGCAAGATTAAAGACCTGTTTTACATGATTTTTGAAAAGTCAAAATGAACTAATGAGATTAAAAAATTGCTTTTGAATCCATTCGGTTACATTTATAAAAATGCTTCTAGTTTCTTGTTAGAAGAGCTTTCAAGAAAGATAGTCCAATATAATTTCCTTCAAAACTTTATTAGAAATTAATTTTCAAACACCAATCAAGCAAACTTTCTCGGAAAATTCTTTTACAAGAAATTGTAGAAGCCGCGTCAAATGAGCCCTAAGAAGCTTCTGGATTGTGCCTAATTACTCTATTTTGATTTAAGATAACTCTGTTGGAAATGAGTTGGCAATGTTTTATGCGAAAATGAATGCCAACAAAATCCGTACTCATTCACAGAACAAAGCATATTTAGAATTTTCTAACAAAGCAAAGGGTTGAAGGTACCCATGAACAATCTTTCTCATAATACATAATTCAGTGATTAATCAAAACATGTTCAACATTCAACCAATTTACTTGGCTGATTCAGCCGCCTCAGTAACTTCTCTAGCACACTGGGACACATAAGGTTTTAGCTGCAAACAAGAGGAAAATAAAGAGCATTAGCACCTGTTACAAGAGAAACTTCCTAACCATCTTAAGATTCTATTGATACGAAATTATCGCAGGATTGATATTTGATTATTTTCATGAAAAGCTATCACAAGTTCAACATAATCCATTGAAAGATCATTGATAGTCGTTAAGACATGGATTTATGGGGTTTCTTCGCCTTTAAATACTGGACTTTAATCTATATTGAAGGTATGCAGGCACATGCTTCATTCTCTCGAGCTCTTCATTAATTACTCTATCTGAAGCATTTGAGGGATCGCTTAGAGACAGTTTATGGGCCAAATTTTGGATGCAACACAAAGCTTTTGTAAACAATGCTGTTTCGAAAATGAAACATTAAGCATAAAGGCATCCCTAATAATTAAGAACATTACAGTGAGGTTGAGATAACGAGACCAACCATGAGAAAAGAAGTTATCCAATCTCAATCCTTCAAGCCTCAACTCTCTAGGTTCAACAACCAACATGATCAAGAGCAGTAGAGGAAAGGGAGGCCTTACCCTACCAACTCCAAGCAAGCATAGCATATGGGAGAAACCACCCATATTGATGCATCTACGTGCATGCCACAGTATGACGACAATCAAATCCACAGGCTAGACGTGAAAGATGGGGAATACTTTTAGCATTTTATATGCAGAAGGCTCAGACACATGGAAGAAGAAATGGAGGCTCTTAGTGAAGGATGGCACAGGCCATGGACTCACCTCCAGCACTCTAGGCATACCTCCTCCAAGAAGATTAGGAATGAGCTGATTCTGCTAAAGTTCAAACTATAAAACATAAAAACATTCTCTAATTATCGAGATCATTACCAGGACTTCAATTGTTTAGAATCCTCCTCTAAGCACTTCCTTGAATCCCAAGCATCTACAGGCGCACAAACTAGCATAGGAGGCTAAAAAAGGTGACCTAATTAAGTTCTAATAGGACAAGGACAAACTCTATGGTAGAAAGGAAGGAGGAGCAAGAAGGCCTCATTCCAGCAATAACAGATACCTCCCAGACTAACATGAGACCAACATCTTAATTTAAGTCAAAAATCAGAACTTTGTAAAGTGATCACAAAGCACGAAGAATCAGAAAGAAGTGGCCTAAAGAAAGAAAGAAAACATCTTTATCAACCTCTAGAGAAAGTTCTAATAAAACTTATAATTTCAGTTCTTAAGAAAATGCATTAGCAATGAAATCATTGTAAATACAAACAAGAGACCAAAGTGATTACTAAAAGAAATTGCATCAGATGTTCTATTTGGAACTTATAATTTCATTAGTGAGAAAATGCATCAGCAATGCGAACATTATAAATACCAACACGAGACCAAAATGACTATTAAAAAAAATTGCATCATATTTTCCTAAAGATGAACTCAACAGTAATATAATGGAGAGATTGAAGGGGCAGGTTTAATTTGACATTCTTGATTGTTGAAATGCCTTAGAGATAGCCATACATTGAGCCATGTTGGTAAGGAAAATTTCTGAACTATCCTTAGAGGTTGATATAATTGTTGCCGTGTCTTCTTCCTATTTAGTGACTGGTCTCGAATTACCAATTCTAAGATGTAACAAATTCGACACTAGGGACTGAGGAACCTTGAGGAAAACAACAGAATTGGTCGAACGGCTACCCAAAGGGGTTTTTAATGGCACTTAGCATTGCCCAGGAGGGAGACAAAATGATTTAGGGACAAGAACCTTCTAAAGAACCAAGTTAGGAACATACAAGCTCATCCAGACCATAGTAGGATAGCTAGTAGATGGCAGCAATAACATGGTAGAAATGCCTATGATAGTTAGGAAGAGCAAGTCAACATAAAAAAGAAGCTACATCATCTCCTTATGCAACAATCTCGAGGGAAAAGCCCATGCCATTTACTGTTCAATAATGATCTTTGCCTTGATCTATAATCGAACTGCAGAACATGAGGTCAAGATAATCTGTCAACATGCATCATAATCCTCAATATCATTCACATCCCAGACTGGTAATGCTCAATATCCATTTTGTGGTAGTTTGACTTATGTTTGAACATAGGCAGTATAGTTGAATCCATTTTATTTTAAAATTTCGATACGTATCCGATACGTATTTTTTAAATTCTTTTAATAACTTATTGAATATCAATAATATTTATTGAAATACACAATTATAGTTTTAAAATTAACATCTGGACTCTTATTGAAAATGCACAATATTATTTTCAATCATGTGAAACCGTGTTATAGTTAACAAATATATTTTTATTATTGGAAATAGATAGTTACTACTATTAAATAATACACGTAAAATTGTGTTACATTAATTCTATTATTAATCAATGCATAATACACATGAAGTGTATTATCACTTTAAATCAAAAAGTAATAACATGAAATTTGGGAGGCCATCTATATGCCTAATAGCCGCAACATTAAACCAATTATACTATGTCAAATAAAATAATTCCTTAATCTGTTTTGTTGTCCGTGTTAAATTTTCAAAGCAGCGGCTGTTTCTTTTTCTCCATACGCACCATACGATATAACCTGGAATAAGGTCCCAAACAAGTTTGCTATTCTTATCTCGAAACTTTTTCCTACATGCCTTTAACACATCTTCCCCACGCATCGACAACACCCAATTCATGTGTTGCAACGCTAGAATATCGTTCCACAATAAATGAGCAAGATCACAATGAAAAAACAAGTGGTCAACCATCTTTACATCTATCTTGCACATATAACACCACTCTGTAACATAAAAAAATCTAGTACGAAGATCATCCACTGTTAACACATGTTCTGTGATCACCATCCATAGTAAAAACGCCGTTCGTGAGTGCAATTTGCATTTCCAAACCATCTTCCAGGGGAATGAACTCTCCACAAGTCCCAATAAAGATCTAAAATAAGTGCGAACTGAAAAACTACCATCCCGTGTCAACCTCTACCTGCTACAATCACACTCTCCTACTCTGATGTGTACCTCGTACAGAAATGTCAAGAACATCGCATAATCATCTAGTTCTCAATCTTGCAAACCCCGGCCAAAAGCAATGTTCAAACTGAAGCTCCCATTATGAACATCTAAAACATCATTCACCATGGCAGACAGCACCAACGCAATACGATACAAAGAAGGAAATCCCACCTTAAACGGTTGATCTCCACACCAACAATCATCCCAAAAGTTGATGGTGTTGTCATTCCCCACTACAAAAGTCAATCTATCACGAAAGTCACTCCACCCTCACTGTATATACCACCACAAACTCACCGCATAAGAACCACGACTCTCAACTGAACACCATCCCCTGTCCATAACACCTTATTTTGCTCCTATAATTTCTCTCCAAAAACTCGCCCTCTCCACTCCAAATCGCCAAAACCACTTACCCAACAATGCCTTATTAAACATATGACTCCTCAGTTTGAGACCACCCAACCTTATGGGAGAACAGACTACCCCCCTCCCCCAATTAACCAAATTAATTTCCTCTCCTCCCCTAATCTTCCCCAAAGAAACTCCATTTATATCTTCTTTAATCTTTTTGTCATTGCAACAGGAATAGGAAACAATGACAAGAAATAAGTAGGAAGATTCGACAACTTAGACTTTATGAGAGTAAGACGGCCTCCATTTGATAGATACATATGCTTCCAACCCGCAAGCCTTTTCTCCACCATTTCCACAATACTGTTCCAAATTTGTGTACTTTTAAACCGTGCTCCTATATTCGACAACTTAGACTTTATGGGAGTAAGACGGCCTCCATTTGATAGATACATATGCTTCCAACCCGCAAGCCTTCTCTCCACCATTTCCACAATACTGTTCCAAACCTGTGTACTTTTAAACCGTGCTCCTAACGAAAGCCCGAGATATGTCATAGGCAGTTGTGCAACCCTGCAATCCAATATCGCAGCTAACTCCTCCATGTTATCGACCTCTCCCAATGTGATAACTTCGGATTTTCCCATATTTATTTTCAATCCAGATACGGCCTCAAAGCATAGGAGCAGACGACGCAAATCCCTAAATTGCTCAAAATCTGCATAACAGAAAATTAGCGAATCGTCTGCAAATAGCAAATGAGAAACCTGCAACTGCTCAACAAAAAAGCCCCTTAACAAACTTTCCCCCACAACCTTCTCAAACATCCTACTAAAGGTTTCCATTACAATGACAAACATCAATAGAGACAAAGGATCCCCTTACTTCAATCCTCTGCTACTACGAAAATAACCTTCTGGAGTGCTATTCACCAAAACTGAGGAAGAAATTGTAGAGATACAAAAATGAATCCACCGGCACCACCTCTCTCCGAAACCACATCGCCTGAGCATATACAAAACAAATCCCCAGTTAACGTGATCATAAGTATTCCGAATGTCAAGCTTACAAAACATTCCTGGAACTCCCAGACGCAGTCTTTAGTCAATACATTCATTTGCTATAAGTACGGAATCCAAAATCTGACGCCCTTTAACGAAAGCATTTTGAAACTTTGACACCACTTTCCCCAACACCTCCTATAATCTATTCGTCAAAATCTTTGCAATAATCTTGTAAGTCCCACTCACTAAGATAATAGGACGAACGTCCTTAATATCCGTCGCTTCCGATTTCTTAAGAATTAGCACAATAAACGTAGCATTGACGCTTCTTAACAACTTTCCATACTGGAAAAAATATGCAAGGGCATCCACAATGTCTGATTGTATCAGTTCCCAACAAGCCTTATAGAATGAGAAAGAGAACCCGTCGGGTCCTGGAGCCTTATCGTCATTCATGTTGAACACCACCTCCCTAATTTCATCCTCCTCGAATGGTCTCTCTAACCAACTAGCATTCTCCTCATTAATAGTAGAAAAATCTAACCCCTCCAATTCTGGTCTCCAGTCCCATTGCTCACGATAAAGAGTCTGATAAAAGTTTACCATTTGGCTCCCGATATTCTGTGGATCCTCATAAGTTACCCCGTCTACCTCCAACATATTAATAGAGTTGTTGTGCCTATTAGAATTAGCAAGAAAAATTCGGTGCATTTGTCCCCCTCTTTCAACCATTTGACCTTAAATTTCTTACGCTAAGTTGTCTCCTCCATCTCCAACAACCTCTCCAACTCTTATCTTAATTCTCCACGTCTCGCCTTATCATCCCCTACCAGTCCTTGACTTTCCTCCCTCCTATCCAACTCTTCTATATCTGAGAGACATTGGTTTATACGATATGTAATATCTCCCACCACCTCCTCATTCCACCTCTTAAGTTCCATTTTCAATGCTTTCAATTTTCGATCGAACACATAACTGGGAGACCCCTTGAAATCATAAGATGCCCACCAAGTCCGGACTTATTCCCCAAAACCTTCTACTTTAAGCCACATCTTCTCAAACCTGAAAGATCTTCCTCCACTGCACCTATCATTTCTAGATAACGCAATAGGGAAATTATCTAATTCTATTATTAAAAATAGATACATGTAAAATCCTATTATTAACTGAAAATATGTTGAATTTTATAAAACATATTGTCGTATCCTAATTTTTTTAAAAAGTCGTATCAACATATCCGTATCGTATTGTATCCGAATCACGTATCCTTATCCGTGCTTCTTAGCTAATAACAATGATAGTAGCCATAGCAACAGGAATGGTGTGAACACTAGAAATGATGTAAATAAGAAAGCTCTGCCCATACATGCGTACTTTCCTCATCATTTGCAGTAGAAATCATAGTAGTGAAGAAAGCTATTGATTCTACGTTGTAATATGCAACTGATAATAGTCTGCAAGTATTCCCGATACAATTAACTCCGTCACAGTTGTATCCCATCGAAACCAGGCTCCACAAACAAATCTTATTGCAGCACCAAGTAGAATCCCAGCTTAAGCAATCTCTATTATAATACTACGAACTTCCTCCTATTCATATATGCAGTAGCCAAAGTTTATTTTATTGGTTTTTTTTAAAAACCCGAAAGGAGTATTTATTTTTAGATTGTGTCAGCCTCATAGAGGTTTTACATTCAAGCCCTTTGGCATCAGTTTCCCTTCAGTTTTCTTTGTCTGATTTCAGATATAAATTTCAATAGCCCCAGTATCTAGGCCATTATCATGTCCACTAATTTATTTAAAGAAGCTACAGGATTATAGCCCCACCAAAGGAAGACTGAATGAGAATTGAAAATAAGACAATTTATTGATAGATATGTGATTTCCTTTAATGGCTGATACAATCACTTTATGCTTCAATTTAAACAGAAACTGTAAATCATCGAAACACTGAAGAACTATATTCTTAACATTGTTTATGCATGTATTTGAAATGAAAAAAAAAAACCAATTTAGACAAATTACCTTGAAGTCAGTCAAATCTGGTACCACATAGTTTGGCAACTTTTCAGGTACCACAACATAACCACCTGTATCCAAAGATCGAGAAATCAATTATTAGGAGGCTTAATCAGTATAATTTTTCAATTTGGTCAAACAACAACATGACAAAGATTTTGCACGTGGAGATCAGCAATAAAATCTGTGACCTGCATTTCCCGTTTAATTGCTTTTTCTAGTGGGTTGGATTGGTGTGAAGTCGCTTAAAGCTTCAAAATCCAAGTCAAGGATGAGAAACCAATTGAGTCCAAGTAGAAGGCACTAAACAGAGCTCATATGCAGTTTTTTTTTTTTAAATTCACCTAAAAGCGAATTACGCTTTCATTGGAAATAACAAAAATTATGAAACAATATTTCGGGGAACTCCAGTCAAAAAATGATAGTGATACGCAGGCCTAAATAATTATTTTCTTTTAATGTAACAGAAGTCTAACCTTGAAAATAAGTTGGCAAAGGCCCAATTCTGTTGGATGATGACTGATTTCTACAACTTGAAAAGCCAATGTTACTGGTGGAACTTATCTGTAGTTGACTTAACTAATAACCTGACTCAACAAAGTAATCATCTAAATCAACTTGACTGCCCAGAAATTCCTTTCTTTGCCTGTTTCATTTGTCAGCCTAAATTAGCCAGTCAGGGACAGCTGGTCATCAAAATCTGTAACAATGTTGACCAGGAAAACTCTATAGCAGTGTGCTTAGTTTGGACTATTTTGAAAGTTCTAGACAGTAGGAATAGAATGGTCTTTGGGATCAAGTTTAGCTGGGTATACTAATGTTATCAAAATATGGAAAAATGTTGATCACTGTCAACACAAAAATCATCACAATTTTATTCTAGCGTGCACAAATCACAATATACTGAAAGATCCAGATATATTCAAAGTAGTCTTGCACAAACATGTGAAAGCCTACCAAGTACTTGATGATGCGATCAAAGAGTACAATTAAAACTAAGAAAAACACATTAACCATCCCGTATGTAATGGCAAATAAATGTAAACAAAGTGCAGAAAACATACCTTTGCGAGTGTGGAAACCAGTGGGCTTGCAATTCTTTCCCTTGTAATAACCTCGAGGACTCCTTTTCGAGGTGAGAATATCGAGTGAAGAAGTGCGCTTTCTCCTGAACGCCCTCCCAATTCCCATTATCAGCCCCAACGGCATTTTACCGGCTTTTTCTCCCTCCACAAATGAATCAGTTAACCAAGTAAAGTTTCTACATCTCAAGCAAAAATTCCCAGGTTCGTTAACTCAGTAATGGCGTCAATTAGTTTCTCATGGAAGAAGACAAAGAAATATGTAAACCTGTAAGAAAAACTGTGCATAGTTTTGAAAATTTTAATATTAACAAACAAGCCAGTCTAGTGTTCACAAATCAAATGGGTTCTTTCGACAGTTGAAACCTTCCAAATGTTTATATAATTCAGCTCTCATCGTTTTATTTCCCTTAAAATCTTGACTATTTTAGATTATCAAAAAATATTATTAATTGTGATTATAATTTCTAACACATACAAGAATTTTCAGCAAATAAAGGATGGATACCTACTTGAGCACAGATTGGTAGTACTCACAGAGGAGGAAGAAGGTTTCAATGGTGAAATTCCTTGAAGGGTTTATGCATACAAACCTCAGCCCAACCCATGTTAGCCAATTGGGCCTTCAAATGTTTGAACAGATATGATTCAATACCCAAAGTTGAAGATAAAAGATAAAAAGCCCAAAGTTCTAAAATTCGAAGATAAAAGATTCAGAAGCCCATAATCCTTGAATTTAATTTTTTCTGATTTTCACCAAATAAAGATCCTCTTTTTGCCTTTTCAAATAAGGTTCTATCTTCGAAATCGAACCATAAAAATTACATCTATTGACACACTAAAAGTGCACTCCAAATTAAATAGTCCAAAGAGCGAGATCTAATTGGGGAGTTCAGGATAAAGACCAAAATAAGATTATTGATGAATGCAGAGGAAGTCCACGAACACAGTAACATCATCGCCCAAGCTTACAAGACTTCCAGAATTTGAGCGAATGGGGTGCCTTACGCTTGCCCAGAGCGATGACCTCGTTCTCGACCAAGCATTCGAATCGCCCAGAACTTAACAAACATGAGATATTACAGTTATTCAGAATAGTAGTTATTGAAGCAGTTATCGAGCAGACTTATCATATTCCACGATTCAAGAAGCCCATTTGAAGGAGGTTGAACGACAAAAAGTAATGACATCAGTTGGAGATGACAGTTCCACGAAAAGTTAGTCACCATGAAGAAAGTGGGTAGTTATAAAGTAATCAAGCAGTTTTCAAACAATTTGTCACGATGAAATCATCATGTAAATATAAAAGGAAGGGAAGACATAGAGAAATGCCCCTCGAATCAAACACTTTCAAATAGAAAATATGTAATTTCAATTTTTTAGATTAACTTTAATTATCCATTTTCAGTATTAGTGTCCTTGCGACCCTTGGAAGCATTCTGTTTATTTTCAATTGTAATTCTCATCAATAAAGCACACTTTTTTGGAACTTTGTATCTAGAGGTTTGTCCATAGATTAACTTTAATTATCCATTTTCAATACTCGTGTGCTTTCGCTCATTGGAGGCATTCTATTTATTTTCAATTGTAACTATCATCAATAAAGCACCCCTTTTTGGGACTTTGTCTCAAGAGATTTGTCCCTTACACAATCGTCTAAATCTTTTTTAATTGTTAGCGACTACCTGCGCGAAACAACATAACTTGATTATACCATGCTTAAAAGTAAGTTTTGTCCCAAAAAAACAAATTCGATGCTGAGTGCACTTTCTTCAAATTGCAGTGCAATGTAGTCTTAGTAAAGAATCATCTCCTAGTGCTCTTTTCCATTACTAGATTTTAAAAAATTGGTGTGACTTTATGTTAATGAAGAAGTCATGGTCCTAAGATGGGATAATGTAGAAATCTTATCATACCTTCGATTAATATAAGAATCAAAATGTGTTTTATGGGTAATTACGTCTGTTGACCCAAAAATTGCCACTTAACTAATGAGGTTTATGCTGATTATCCATATAGAGACGCTAAGTCATTTTGATGCTCAACCTATATTATCAAGTAATTGAAAAAGATATCTGACATCGATTTCAAAGGTCGGCAAGAACTATACTAATCGTATGGCTATAGTCATGCTTAGCACTTTCTCATATCATCTATATATGCCTAGGTGTGGCCCCTAACTATAAATTTAATATGAAAAGACGTACAAGAGTAGGTGGATGTACCACCTTTTATCTAGAAATACTATTGAAGGAGAAATATAGAATTTGGAAAAACATGTATTGAAACTACTAGTCAAGGTTTACATCATAGGTGGGTGTAACATCTACTAACTTTTTTTATTTAGACTTTTGTTTTATAGAAGCACCTATACCTGCGCAAGTTGCAAGATAGCAAAAGATTTACAATTTTACAAACTAAATGGAAAATATTGATACTCATAAAATGAGTTTCATACCGACCTCATTAGCTTAGCAAAGCTGAGAGATGACAAAATGATTGCAACTTCGACACAATGGAACCATGCAGTACCGGACGCGAGATAGATCTACTAAAGAACAAAGCATTAGTTATAATCCAGAAATTATTCGTATATATATTTCATAAAAACGTGAAATTAAAGTAAGTGGCAAAGTAGTTGGAAGACTCGGAAGTTCAGGACTGCTCTTTGATAATGAATCAAATTGCACCTACCTTTCAATGAAAGGATGTCAGGGGGCAAAATTTAATTTCCAAAACAAAGGGGCCTTTAGTTTTCTTTCTGGGGGTAGGAAAATCATGATCGGGATAGTAGACCTAAATGACAAAAAAGATAATGGAGAACGCATTGTCTGATATAATTTACCAAAACAATCATATTTATTTCATGTGGTATTCATAGAACATGGTGCTAGTACTTTGTTTACATATGCTCAAAGCCACAAAGCTTTGTACAAATTACAATAGCGAACATATATAGAGTTTGACCAAAAGGGAGGTGATATAAGTATGGTTGAAAATCGCAACATTAAGCCCAGTCAAGCTCCAGTTTTTGAAAATTTAATTTTTTCTAAACTCATCTACTCTTTCAATAAAATAATTTTACACATAAACCCCAAATTTTTTCTTACTTTTTAAATACTCATTCTTCAAAAAATTACTATTATAATTTTATTTTATTTTTCAAAAAATGATGCTAAAAAACACCCTAAAACCTCTCTACCTTTGAAATTGAGGTTACCATGACTGAACCTAGGACAGCTGGACATGGGTCTTGTTTTAATGTTGTTTAAGGAATCTTCTATTTTCTCTCTCCTTGAATATATACTGTACTTCTTCTTCTTCTTCTTATACAATTACTACTACTGTCTAGGGGGATTCAAGTGTAATAGATTAATGATCACAAGAAGAGCTATACAATTAAGCTCATGTTTGACGACCATTTCTTAGAAAAACATTGTTTTGAATAATGAAATTTTTTGAAAATGTACGGTTAAAAGGTAGAAAAAAAATTTGAGTTCACGTGTAGAATATTTTATTGTGTGAGTGTGTCGTTTTTATCGATCAACTAGTTCTCATTGCTGTGATCTCCTAGTGCACTTGGTATTCCGCGATTGAGCTCAAAAGTGATATAGTTCTTAAGGTCGGGGTGAATTTTGTTGCTTTGGATCTGCATATTTTCCTTTTACCAGAGAGTTCTTTGTGGGATAATGTCAAAACCCTACAATAATCATGACGTTCAATATCTAGCTATTTATGTGTACCTAAATAATTTTCATGTAAATAAACAAAATTAAAAATCTTCCTCTAATTATCCAGATTCCATCAGTCATAAGAAAAAAAATTGAGAAATAAGGCATGATAATCTCTGCGAGTGACAGATGGAAATTAAATCTTAGTAATATTAAAGTTCTCTATTTCTCTAAATTTGATGGATTAAAGAAAGAAAAAGAGAACAAAAAAACATGAATAATCAAAGAAAGAGGGCCTTTTCCAAATAATTTATCTTCTGTTCTTATTTTTCCATATGAAACACAACAAGATATGCATTGAACTTGTTACATTAGAGACTCATCCGCAGCCAAAAAAAAAATTGGTAGGAACAAATTATGATAGGATCGCACGTCCAACAAACAGAGTTACTGCTACTACTAATTCTTGGCAATACCTCTTTATATATTCAAGTCTTCTTTTCATTTCAAAAAACAGAATCAAAATATAAAAAATATCAGTCAAGCATGCTCTTTTTCATCCCAGTCTGGTCTGCCAAGTGTGAACTCTAGGCTTGGGTTTTTATAATCCATCCTTTGATAGCTCTTCTGCATTGAAGAGTCACATTCCTGCAATGGTTTTGAGGTTTTCATTCATATCCAATACAGTACTTGCATGAAGAGAAGAGATCGAGAGAGAGAGAGAGAGAGAGAGATTAGTTACCAAGGGAAATATGAGAATATTCAACGACATATTTCTATCCCTCGTGGAAATTTTTGTACAACTGTTATTAGCCATGCTGGAAACTCGATTTTCGATAAGCCTCCATTTGTCAAATTAATAATAATGACAACAAGAAAATTGAAATGTGTAGATAATAATGAGTAATAGTAATGAATATGTGCTTGAAAACTTGAGATCGAATTTATAAATATGTATCCAAAATGAGGCTAGTGTTGCGTGCCTGTCTTGGCAACAAGAAAATTGAAAAGGAAAAGGTAAGGGAAGGGAAGTCCTCAAATGAAACAAAGGAAAGAAGAGGCAAAAATATTTAGTTTTCCTCCCCAGCACTTCTACTCATATTGAAACGAAAAAGTTAGAGATTTTCGTTGAGTTTCTTTGCTCCAATATCCTTAACGTCGACCTAGTTTTAGCATTTTCTCTTTCACAAGGTATTATGAAATAGTTCTTGAAATATTAATCTAAGATGTAAAGCAAATATGTACCTATATACTTAAAAAAAAAAAAAAAAAATATATATATATATATATACACACACACATACCTCTATCTGGTGACTGGCATTTTGTTGTGATTGTAAAAATGATGATCTGAGACCGTTCAGGTCACCGGAGTTTCCTCGTAGCCAACCCTCTCTGTTGCTGAAAAAACAATATTCACATAAACTTGTTAGTGTTATTAGATTTATTTTACCAGTTCATTACGTGACATCGCAATTTTGCTATGGTATGTGTGAGGTGCTACACAAACAACATATTTCTTAGGCTACATTGCCTAGAAAATGCTCTTCTGCTAAGTAAAATGGAATTAGAAATATTCCAATGACTTATGATCATCTATTTAATGTCCAATGTCGTTATGTGGATTTGAAAATAATTAGTTCCAATACATAATTCTTGATACCCTATAAATTTTTAATTTTCAAATACATTGTTTTCACCTCAACCAACAAAATTATGTTTCGGTATTCAAATCGACAATGGAACGTTCACCGATAAAAACATGTTCATATACCTAGATTCATGCTTTACAATTCAAAAAGAGAAACAAGTTCCAAACGTAATTGCACTATAGATGAAATTTGCACAATTCCATGATAAAGGTGTGTTAAATTCTTTATTTTTCCATCTAAATCTCAAAAAGCACTATACATGAACACATACACAAAGAAGGAAACCAAAATTCAAGAAACAGGTGATGGTTCTTGGTTGGACTGTGGTAAAAGATAAATTATTTATTTGGCATTGATTAGACTTTGCTGGTTTGTATTGTGACAGTTTGATCCAAGTGCTCAAGCCCCTTTAGAGTAGCGAGATAGAGGTTCTCTCGAGAAAAAAAAAGTCACTTTCTATCCATCGCTTTTATATATATATTCGTTACCTTGGACAAGTTAGACAAAGCCTATAGTTTTTACTTAGCACCTCTTTGGGCACCATTCTTTCCAAATTTTAATACAAAATGGGACCGTCATGAACAATGAAGAGGACTCAGCTCCAACCGCAATCACTAACAAGCCAAACCCAACATATTTTTTTATTTCGAAATCCCAAAAATGTCATGCTTAAATAGATTGAATGAAAAAATTAAAGGGCACAATGATATTTTCCCTAGTCTACTTTTAAGTGATCTGTAAAAAACAGTCAATAATGGCTGCAATAGTCGGGTCAACATAATTGTATAATGACTGGATTTCTTATTAATTGTACACAATGGTGCCCAAACAGCCGCTTAAGCAACATTTTCATTCAAACACCAAGCTGAATTCCCGAGAATGAATGTTTTAACTGCAGGATAGTTGTTTGGATATGAGAGGGTGAGGTACTGGTCAAGTGCTTATCTTCTGTCTTAGAAAAGAACTTATGGACGAACATTGACTATACTGTCTCAAAATTTGTGCATTCTATGCTACATTGTCAATAAACTAATCAATATCTATAGATCTTCAGTAAAATCTTTTGGTCCTCTTTTTTGCAGTTTGAATTACAGGCAGACTAGAATTTGTAAAACTTAAATGTCTGAGAATTGAAACAATATCTTAAAATAGAAATAAAAAGTAAAAGTAGAACCAGCCTATATAAGCAGGAAACAGTGTTGTTTCTCAGAAGTTAGGGCCTTCTATTTTTCGCCATTTTTTAGACAGTATGAGCATACTGTTTTGTTGCAAAAAAGGAAGATTAAGACAAATTTATCTTAATGCATAGAAGCTGGTTCCAAAACAGTGTCCTTTATAGATTCTATCTATATAAACATATACGTACAAGAATACACACAGAAACCATATATATAGAGTCCTTTTCTCTTGGTCCTTTATACAAATATATCTCTGATTCTCCTTGTGAATAGAATAAGAACAAGGGTTTGAGAATTAATTACTTTAGGAACAGATTATGAAATAATTCCAAGGAGAAAAAGGAGAAGTATAGCAGTAGTTTGCTTTTTTTTTTCCCCCCTCATAATTTATCCTTGGATTGTGTTTAAATAACAATTTTTAAAGTACCACATCAATGCTACGTAAGTCAATGTCAGGTGAAATTTTCCAAAATCAAAGATTAAAATAAAGAAAAGACGAAATGAAACAAAACAAAACAAAACAAAAGCAAAAGCTGCCACAAGAACCCTTTTGTTCTTAAAAAATGGTGGACGTGAGTTTGCGTTTTCTAAGTTTCAGGTACCATGCAAAAGGAAAAGGAAAAGGGAAAGGGAAAGGAAAAGAATTCATTATTCCACCATTATTTTAAAGCAGTACGTGGACAATAACAGATAATTCCTTACATATATGTATTTAATATATATATATGTGAATATATGTAGAGAGAGACGCACACGAGAGAAGAGAGAGAGAGAGAGAGAGATGCAGACCTTGAGGAGTTGCTCCATAATGTGCTAGCAGTAGAAGGGTAATCAGATTCTTGTTGCAAAGGTCCATCGGATGAGCCTCTTTGATCAATGAGTCTTCGCAATCTGGACCGGTCACTGGCACCGGCACTGCCTATTGTGGATAGATCATCTTCGCCGGAGCCATCAGAATGGCCTTCAAGAAAGAACCCAAAAATTCAAATATGAATGCTAATGCAATGCATGCTTTGCCTAAAATAATAGAAGGATTTAAATGCCTTCATTTCTTACAATGAAATGAACTGAGAGACTGTTAAAGTTAATTAAACCTGCTAAGCAATACGAATTACCTGAAGAAGCTGCAGGTTTGTCAGTGGTTTTAACAGTTCGATACATCTGCATTGGAAAGTATGTATATGTAATGAAAGAAAATTAAAAATCCATTAAAAGAAAAGTGAAAACTCTCTCTCTTTCTCTCTCAAATGAATGTAGTATTTGTAAAGAGTAAAATTTCTGGGCTTCTGAGTCATGTGTTGGTTTGATCATTAATCACGAGGCTGATGTTTGATAGGGCAGTAATGAGCTGTATTATTGAAAAATGATGACTTGCTTTTGTCTGTTATCATTCTACAATTTTCGACTGCAACTCTCTCTCACTACTGCTCTGACTGTCAGCCCCTCCCAAGACTTCTCCGATTCTTTAATTCATTCATTCATTCATTCATTCACTTCACGCATCGACTAACGTGCCGGAGAAATAGACGGAGACCTCTACAGACATCATAAACCCACAGAGAGAGAAAGTAGATTACTGTAGAGGGTGAAACTGAAACGTGAGTTTTCATTTTTCCTGTACCTGTAAATGGCTTTTGACATGAGCTAGAGTGAGATCTTTGACATCCATGAGCTCAAGAACTGACTTAGGAGTAGCTCCTGAAAATCACAAACAAATGAACA